ATGCTGCCATAAATATTATAATTAGACGCGTTGTATTATCGCATCGCTCTTATTTAATAAATATACACTACTAGTGTTATGTAATTTATTTTGCGTACCTGTCGTTAGATCTGCAGCGTTGGTAAAGTAATAGTAGCGAGATAGCGAGATATCGGATAGTGTCAACGCACGATGGACGTTGCAATATCGTGACAAAGTTATAGTCCAAATAAAATAAAATATATATAATTTCGATATTATTGCTGCCATTTGTATATGGTACCTGTCTCATTTAACATTAATACGAAATGTCAAGTAAATCTATCACATATGCAGAGATACTAATAGTACTAGAATTTATCCTAAAATTATAAAACTGTATTTTTCAAAAATACACGCTCGACTTTGCAGCATAAATTCGACACTTAGTGCGCAATAATTAAATTCGCGTAATAGGCATCCATATGATATTGGAATTATTTATTTGTTAGCGAATTAATGATTCCCCGATTCATTGTATTTTATTTTGTTTTACTGATAGTACAAATAATAAATTTAAAATGTATTATAATTAATAATCGTATTATGTTTTACATTTTGTGTTTCAAGATGTGATCACAGTTTCACGAAATCTATTGTGTGCGATATATGCTATTTACATTTGCATCATTGAATTTTTCTTTCTTTAAATCGTGATTTTATATCTGTTTTATTTCAGATTTCGTTTATTTAAAAAAAAAAAAAAAAAAAAAAAAACCAACCCACATGAAGATTCAAAGAATCTGTAGAAGATATCTAAATAAGGATTTGTTATAGAAGATATAAGAATATATAGTAAAAGAGAGTTTATATAAAAAAGAGAACAGTAATTTAAAAAGGAGAAACAATTTTATCTTTTAAACTTATATTTTTTCTCATATGCTTATTTAATATCAAAATAAGTGTCTTCTTTTTTTATCTTCAAGATAAGAAATAAATTTTAAGAATTTGTAATTTTTTTCCGATCTCTCAAATCATATTCGTATCAAATCGAAAGAACGTATATATATCTTTCATTTATTTGAAATATTCATTTTATTCTGCTGGGCCGCGTTCGAAAACATCACTTGTGTGCACACGGGTGATGTTCTCGAACGCGGCCCTGCGCATTCGCGCAGAGCGCAGATTATAAAGCGGGGAGCACACACTTTTGCATAAGCGCATAATCACAAGCATAAGGAAATTGATTGGTCCATTTCCTTATGCATAACGAAATTGACCAATCAATTTCCTTATGTTTATGATTATGCGCTTATGCAAAAGTGTGTGCTCTCCGCTTTACGCGGAACAAGAGCGGACCAATCGTAAGCGTAGCGAAAACTGCAGAACGCTCGCAATTGGTCATGCTCTCGTTCCGCATTACGCTAATCCGCGTTTCCGCGCTCCATGTAATGGCAACCTCATTGTCAGTCCATTTTATGGGTGCGTTCCGTTTCACGCATTGAGCTCATAGATCGCCTGGAAATCTATAATATATGTAAAGCCCGAATCACACTAGCGGCTCGCGGCTGCGATTGCGATTGCGTTTGTGATTGTGATTTGCTACGCTCTAATCATATTTGCAATTGATGCTTCCTGATTGGCTGAGGCAATCGCAATCGCAGCCGCGAGCCGCTAGTGTGATTCGGGCTTTACATATATTATAGATTTCCAGGCGATCTATGAGCTCAATGCGTGAAACGGAACGCACCCATAAAATGGACTGACAATGAGGTTGCCATTACATGGAGCGCGGAAACGCGGATTAGCGTAATGCGGAACGAGAGCATGACCAATTGCGAGCGTTCTGCAGTTTTCGCTACGCTTACGATTGGTCCGCTCTTGTTCCGCGTAAAGCGGAGAGCACACACTTTTGCATAAGCGCATAATCATAAACATAAGGAAATTGATTGGTCAATTTCGTTATGCATAAGGAAATGGACCAATCAATTTCCTTATGCTTGTGATTATGCGCTTATGCAAAAGTGTGTGCTCCCCGCTTAACCTTGTGCGCAGAAATGTGCGCAGGTCGTGCGTAACATAAGAACATAACACGTGATTAGTCCACGCTATTGAAAACTGAGATCTGAAATGTCGCATTGTTTTGAAAGAAGAAATCGACAATGAGAAATGGAAACGGAAGAGCTTTGCAATATCAATATCTCTCCGTTGGTAACAAGCCTATTCGCGATACAATGGTCACCCGACAATCAGATCTCGATAATTACAGACGGAGGCGTTCATGTATTCGTAAGTTACATTACGCTGTTATTTCCGTTGTTATATATACTGAAAGGAAAAGAGATGAGCAATAAATAGCTTCTGTAATACGTGCAATTTTTGAATTTAATACATATCTATTACATCGTTGAATGTTTTTTTAAATGAATATTTATATGAAAGCGTAGAACTTGATCAGATTAGGAAAGAATCGAGACTAATTAATCATAATTTTAACCGTAATATACTCGTCAAATTGGCTTGAATGTCGCGAATTATGATCGCAAGAGATTAATACTATAATAATAATCTTCTTTTGCAGGAGCTGGAGCCTTCACCCATGTCTCCTAACTCGACAATCAAGTTTGCTCGTTCCTTCATCTATCCTTCTGAAAATTTGCCAGCATATGCATTTGTGGATAAGATAGACTCATTAATATGGAATAATTTGGAACGTGAAGATATTTACTCGGTTCTCATGGAGGAAACAATTACTCCAATGTTAGATGGTATAAATGATATGGCCTACAGAATAGTAAATACAACATGGTCACCAAAAAATTTAATCTCTCCTAGCCAGTGCGTATTAGCAATATTAACTGCAGCTGGTGCAGTTGAATTGTTGCACAAAGTTTTCAATGAATGGTATTCTATATGTGACATTTCATCTCTTCGGCTAAATAATGTAGAGGATAAAATTATATCTAATCTTAATAAATGTAAAAAATCAAATAATAAATATGCACTGATAACTGAAAGTATGAGGCAGTTGCAAGCTTGCGCTATGACATGGAGTGAACTGTTCAAAACAGAAGAAGCTTCCTTTGCATATTTTTCTGTGGCTTATCGTAGTGGCGATATATTGATTTGGAAGATTCCTAGAATTTCAAACTTTACAGAAAGCTTGCTGCCTGTACTCATTGGTAAAATAGATTTGAACACTGCTGTAAAAATAAATACATTATGCTGGATCACTGTGGACATGGATGAACATCTGCTGGTCGTTGGATATTTTGATGGCCGAATATGTGGTGTAAAACTGACCTGTGATAATGGCCTACAAATAGCGTTAATAGAAAAATATGTCGCTCCGAATCGTATACCAATTAATTATTTACACATAGTTTCTCAAGATGAGTCAAGTGTGAAAATTCTTGCTGCCAAGGGCACTTTTCTCTTATTGTTACATATAAACTTGGCAGGAACATTGAAGAGTATGCAACATTTGCAAGTACAAGGATTTAATATTTCTGGTATGCAAATATTTCTGAAAATTATAGCTTACAATAAAATTTTATAAATGTTGTGATTTGTGTATAGTTTGATATAAATGTTTATTAATTTGATTTTAAAGCATATAAAGCATATATTGTTTCAGGTATAATCCCTATTACAGCTCAGCAATTTTTGATCACCACACAGGATAGTCAATTTTTCATCATTGATGTACAGTCAAACAATTTAATCATCAATGATATAAAAAATCATTTATTGCAGCCATCTGTACAGTCTTTAGGACTTGCTCACTCGCCGAATAGAGTAATGTTTATTAATATAACCAGTCCAAAAGCAATGTATGATCATTTAGTGATGAGGGAGCCAAGTATAATGCGTATATTCACTTTAAAAGGCGCAATATGTGATCCATTGTCTATTATTAATAATAGTGCAAATCTCATAAGCATTTGGGATTGTATGGAAGTGCTCAGACTCAAAGCCTCTAAAGCAGAGGATCCGAGTATGGTATTGTGTCCCATTACAGAGAACCTTGAATCGTTATCGCTCTACAATTTGCAACTATCAATGTGGATGACAGTAATGATCAATGTGTGCACGACGAAAAAGCCAATACCTAACATGGATCACATACAAGAATGCAAAATGACGCAAGCGTTACCATTAATCTTTTTATATTCCGCTTGCGCATATCTCGATAATTCGACGAAGAAGAACACTATGTCGAAAAATCAGACACTTGCCGTAAGCTTACTCAGAAGATATCTGGAAGTATATCTCGCAGACGGAGATGAGGAGAAGGAGGATATCGCGTATCGGCGCGCTCGAGACACGATGAATGCGACTGCATCGTGTCCCAATCAAATGGAGAAGTGCAATCTATGCGGCGAAGTGATAGATGAGCTCTGGAACGTCAAGTCATGTCCGCGGGGTCATAAGTTACCCAGGTGCACCACAACATTGTTGCAAGTAACGTTGTTGGATTATTATGTCTGCTCGATATGCACGCGAATCTTCCATCCGTGCTTGAAAGAAATGTATGAGGAACCGCAATGTCAGTTCTGCGATATGCCTATCTTGCGCAATTTTCACGCTTTTGATATAGAAGAGTCTAAACTGTATGGAAGAAACTTGTCACGGCAACGTATTGTAGATACGGAATCGTCGAGAGAATTGAATTCGGAAGAGTCGCACGAAAATCGAAGAAGTAAGTGGGATACATTGCATACTTACTCTGTAATTGTGAATGATGATGATGATGAATCAGGTAGAATCACGGAGAAATGGGAAAAATTTTAATGGAAGGTGTCTGAATGTAAACATGTGTGTTAAAGCAATTCACACAAATGTGATATTAAACATATATATATATGTGTGTGTGTATATGTATGTTTTGTTTCCATATTCATGATTTTATCCACATTTTTATGAATTAGAATTGAATTGAAACTAGAATAGCTATATATATCTAATCTAGCCTATATAAAAAATTAGAACAAATATTTCCCCCATTTACTTATAAAACCATAAAATAATCAGACTCTTTATTATTATTAAAATGTGTATTATTATTTTCTGAATACATTTACATTATATAATATTTACATTAAACTTATTTAAGAATGTAATTTTTGGGGTATTTTAAAAGTTGTGGGATATTATCTATTTCTTCCTGTGGAATATGATCTAGTCGAACTGGGACGGTTCTTAGCTGTTTAAGTTGATTGCTAATATTTTTGAATATATCCTTGGGTATCTTATTGTCTGGGAATATATGCAGCCTTTGCATGGTATGTTTCCGTTGCAAGTTTTTTGGCAATTCTCTATATACAGCCTTTTGTACAATCTGTTTAAATTATATATACAGAATTATATAATATGAAACACTCAACAAAATTTTATATTAAGCATTCACATTTTGTAATTGCAAAAAATCAATTACCAGAGTTGGATCCTTGTTATGTAATTCCCATGCGAGAGTCCAAGTAGCACCTCCATGATATGTTGTATGATGGAAATATACACGTTTTCGCCACTCATCGCCGCGTAAAGCAATCTCCTTGCTGTTTATTACTACTACATGATCGCCACAATCATCTATATAAAAATTATTAAGTAAACATTAACAGTTAACATAAGATTATATTTGACTTTTTTCATTTATGCCACTCTCATCTTATACTTTCTTTAACATTAAAAGAGTTCAATTTATGGCATAATTTTAAACCATTATAAATCTTAGTTTATATGTTTTTTTATTTTTTATCGGTGATAATCGTAAGATTTTTATATTTAAGATGATTGATACTTGGGCAAATTAAAAGAATATTTAGTTTCTCTCCTTATAGCGTAAATTTCTGTGTAATAATTATTTTATTCTTCATAAGAATGTAAAATTCTAAGGAGAGATTGATAGAATAATTTTTTATATATGACAAGTATTTTAGAATAGATAATAAAAATGAAAGAAGGGAGAGTTAATGTAGTATATATAGTACTTACTCAATGGATGATAAATTGGTTTATGCATTCCCATAAGATAGTGCTTTATTAACCTTGCACTTTTATATGGGTCTTGCCATGTTGCATCATATATATGCCAAATACGGGCGAATGTTCCCCAATGCTGAAAATAAACCGCGTTAACATCATAAACGTAAATTATTCGTGCAAAATTATGCTATGAACATAAACAGGAAGCAATTAACTTGAGGTAAATATTCGCATGTTATAAGAGGTATGTACATAAAAATTGTGAGATTATTATACATAATATCAAAGAAAGGCAAACCTGTCCTCTTCGCGCGAGTGACATGATAATTTCCGACAATAAACTTTTATTATACACTCTGCTGCAATATTCTATTCTGGTTTATATTTCATTCAATTTGAGGTTATGGTCGCAATGATTTACACATACTACTCTACTATTATATATATATATATATATTATATATGTGTTCTCAAAAGTCGAAATTTTAATTATTAAAAAGTAAAATACTAATTATGATTATTTTCGAACTCGTTGACGAATTTTTAAATTAAAATATTTTATTATCTCTCTCCTCAATGTTATATGTTTTATATAAATATAGATAAAAATTGTTTTAAGTTTAAAATATATATAACGGGAAAAGAACTGCTTTTTCGTACCACATGCCATTACATTATATTCATATTTTGTATATATATAAAATATATATATATATATATATACATATATACATTACTTACATCATTCTAGTACACGTTATATTATAGTACATTATATTACATTATATTACATTATATTACAATATATTATATTATATTACATTTTCTATATTTATTAACATTTTATACATCCTTTTCGATTCTCTTTTCAAATTTATATTATATGATTACGCGCGTCAAATTCATGCAAACGCAGCTTTCTTCGTGCTGACAGCGCCGTTGCATACGTGTCTATCAAATCGTGTATCTATCGTATTGCAATCGAGTGTCTACCGTAGTTATACAGATTGTACGACGTCGCGAATAATTACGCTTCGGGTGCAACAATATTAAGTACGCGAATCGTGAACTGGAGTGAATTATTGGATTTCAAGATAACGTCGGCGTCGCGTTTAACGACAGCAATCTTGTGCCATTTATGGGCATCCGCGGCGACCCGCCCTTCAATGTGATCCGCGGGCGCGACGGCTCCGAAAGAAAGACGATTTCGATGGATCATCGAAATCGTCTGTACGCCGACAATCGGCATCGTGGAGAGAGTCAATTCAAGTATCGGCCGATTGACGCTTAGCGTCTCGGTTTGACAGCGAGCTGTCATGCGCCTGGTTTCAGAAGTCGTGTCGAATTAGAACTCTAAGAAAGCGGTAACGCGTCAACGATGGCGAGCTCTGCTATTAGCAGCAACCCGGAAAACATCTCCAAGTTCCTGGAGACTTTGCAGTCGGACCTTAAGGTACTCGCCTCGGAGACCAAGAAGAAGTATCCACAGATCAAGGAGGTATGCAGAGATGTGAAATCAGCTCAAGTTATATACTGAAAATAAAAGTTTTGGTTTTGGTTTTGGTTTTTCTTAGAGTTTGTCTTCTTATATAAACTATGATTTAGATTTAAAAACTATATGTAGTTTCTACAGGATGTTTGCATTGAATTTAGAGAACTGTATTTGTTAAATTTGCATCAATAAGTATAAATTGTAATAGCAATATTATGTTGTTTCTATTCTTGTTTAGTATAGAATTATTTAATGAATGAGCAATCCTTTTTGTTCAAAAGGAAATTTATTACTGCTTGAATTTAGAAATCTTTATGCTATGTGTTTATTATAGTCATGTGAGGAAGGAATTGCGAAATTGAGGACAGCGTCAAATAATCCAGGGACACCAATATATTATATTGTAAATCAAATACTTTATCCTTTAGTTCAAGGTTGTGAGAGCAAGGATATAAAAATTATCAAGGTATTATAATTTATATTTTATCTTTATAAATGTTATATATATCAGAATAAAATTTTACAATTTAAGTATGTTTGTCTTTCTTTTCCAGTTTTGCTTAGGTATGATGCAGAGACTAATAACTCAGCAAGCAGTAGATCAGAAAGGTGCTCGATACATTACAGATACCTTATGGTTGCTAATGGAATCTGGTACAGAGGAAGTTAAAGTTTTGCAGACTGTAACTCTATTACTTACGAGTAATGCTGTAGTACATGGAGATACTCTTGCAAGAGTGAGGATTTATCTATATCTGAATATTTGCTTTTAGTTTTTTTAACAAAATGTTCTAAATATTTTACTTGAGACTGTATTTTTCCAGAACCTGGTGCTTTGTTTTCGGTTACACTTTACAAAAGACTGTACAACGATAAATACAGCTGGCGCTACTGTAAGACAGCTAGTGTCTTTGGTATTTGAAAGAGTAGTTGCTGAGGACGAGCAAAGTTCTGATCAACCAGACTCTGAGGAAGTTAATTTAGAAGAACTGAAAATTCCAATGAATCAAGCGCCTAAAGGTCTTGGCCCTTGCGCTGCAGATGCATACTTAATGTTTCAGGTAATTTTCATTCTAATCTTAATTTTTATATAATTATGTGTAAAATATAATGATGCATATTACTTTTTTGTAATTGTATCTGTAAAGCTATAGAATATAATCATCTATTTGTATATATCAACTATATTATGTAAATTTTGTTTCAGGATCTAGTGCAATTGGTAAATGCTGATCAACCGTACTGGCTGATAGGCATTACTGAAATGACCAGAACTTTTGGCTTGGAATTATTAGAATCAGTTTTGACCAATTTTTCATCAGTTTTTTTTAAGGTATTAGTTAATACATATACAAAATATAAGTAAAAAGTTTGAGATTCATATTTTTTAAGAAGAATACACAAAATTATTCAAAAAATCGTTTATACAATTTTATATATGTAAAAAAGCTAAATATATCGTAAATATAAAATTTTTAGCATCCAGAATTTAGCTTTTTGCTGAAAGAAAGAGTG